GATGAGATGATGACATCTGTGTCTGTTTGTTAGTTTTACAAATAAAAAGCTTGTGTGAAACTGGACTGAAATTTCAAGCTTAATAGCGTAATTTATTTCTTTGCTGCTTGATAGTTTTTCATTATTGAAATAGTTTATTACTTGAGAATGAATCAAATGCATACTGTTGTATGCAAAAGAGAGGATGAAACATGGTTCCTGCTGCAAGGAATCCTGAAGATCCCTGAAGGGACCTCAGTGTGTCCTTTACAAAAGGATTGTAATTCTCTGGCTTCACTCACTGAATATACTTAAATCAGTTACTAAGGCAAGTGGTGGCAGATTGAGCTCTAAACCAAACTCCCCTTGACAGTTTCAATAGCAAACAACTCATATGCATTTAAAATACTGTTTTAAAAATACAAGTGTGTGTACAGCTGGTACAAAACGGATACCGAGTGAAGGAAACTGAACTAAAACGGAATTTTCCCTTTTATTTCAGCATCACTTGGGAAGCCTGGCAACACCGAAGCACGCACGGAGGTGGCCATTTTTCGGGAGACCAGGAAGTGCGTGAGTGTTTTCCAAGCCCGCCCGCTATGGCAGGCGATGAGAGGGACTACAACCTGACCGAGGAGCAGAAGGCCATCAAAGCCAAGTACCCTCCGCTGCAGAAGAAGTACGAGTGTGAGTATTTAACGAGTGTGAGTATTTAACGAGTGTGAGTATTTAACGAGTGTGAGTATTTAAAGTCATCCGGGCAGAGCGCGGGGGTGCCAGCGTGAGCGGGGAGGGAGGAAGGCACTGAGCAGGATATGGCTTTTTAGGCACGTGTGGGATTCCTTAGCACACCCATATCCTGTATTAGGGCTGATCAGGGCTCTCTCTGAGTTAGAGATACCTACAGTTTTATTTATTGCAGATAAATGCCTTGTCTGACAGGGAAAAATCATGATATGAATAAATTAGTTATGAGTTTTATCTTGAAAGTGTTCCTTTTTCAAGCCATTTCTTACTTAGGCAGTACTTTTTTTTACTATGTCTCATATCAAAAGAGATATTCAAGAGTGAGTTGGTCTCGTAGTAGTTGTTTCCCCCCCACATCCCTTCTCCCCAAATGCTCCACTTTGCGATCATTATCGCTCCCTTTCCCCAGCCCTGGAATGTCTTCTAAGAACATCTCAAGCAAGTGGGTGTCAGCCCGAGGAGTAGCCTGGGGCACTCACAGGCCATTTAGTGCCTGTCTGTCTTTCTATCTGAGCAGTGTTTATCTGGAGGGTTGCTCTATGTTACCCTGTTAAAACATATATTTTTAGATCTTTATTTGATAGCAGTGCACAAATACAGTGACATACTACAATAGTCATGCTCCTTCCATAATCAAAAGAGGTTTTACCCTCCTTTTAAATCCACTGGAATTTGTTTGCTTTAGAGACAGTTGTTGAGAACCATTAATAAATAGTGTGTGGGTGACCTAAGCAGCATCAGAACAGTGTTTCAGCTGGAGGGATCACGATGCAACGTTGATCCTTCCTCCCACATTAGCTCTGTTTCTACCAACCTGGTATTATTATACACCTCTGTCATTCATCTAGGTGAAATGATAGTCATGTAAAACCTGATACATGTTGGGGATGTTAATCCTACTTTGTTAATGAAGATCACTGTATATTTTATATATATTTCTAGTTACGCTTTTTTGCATAATGGATGTCTGGGGTGTGGACGGGTATATTTGTTCTTTGGGCTGTGAACATTTGCAAATCTTATCTTCTGTATGACTAATTTTCAGTCCTGCAGACTTCAGCAAAAGTTCTTTACCCCTCATTAAAGTTTTTCTTTTCTATTGCCATTTACCTGCAGAACCCTGTTATCTTTCAACAGCCATATGTTGTACACAGTGCTCTACACACAGGGCACTAATGTAATTTAAACACTATTTTTCTTCTGTGAAGTTTGGCAGAAATAATCTAAGATTTAACTCGTGTTAGCTTTTTCTAATATACTGAAAAATAAAGAGTATTACTCGTTGATGTGTCAAGGTGAATACAAAAAGTTAATGTATAACAATATCTGTTTTTTTTAATTTGAAAAAAAATCCTCATTTTAAAAATATATATGGTAATTTCATGGCTTTTCTTTTTCCTCCACCCTCAGATCTGGATCACACAGCAGATGTGCAGTAAGTATGGGCAGCTGGGATTTCAGAGTATAACAAATTGAAGACTAGTTTCAGATGTATACTTCAGGCATCTGTGAAATGCCATACTCAAACAGTGCTTTTTTTCTTTTTTGGTCTGTTTTCTTCCTGTTACTCAGACAGCATAGAAGCATATATTGTTTGGCTTCTCCTCTGATGTAATAATCATTTGGTGCTTCTGACTTTCTTCCTGTTACTCAGACAGCATAGAGGCATTGTGTTGTTTGGTTTCTCCTGTAATGTAATAATCCTTTGGTGCTTCTTCCTTTTTTTTAATGATATTACTATAGTATTTGAAAATGTCTTTCAAAATGGGTCTTTTAAGCTTGCCTTAAAACCAAAATGATTTCAAATAGTCTGCTGTTTAGGCATAGCAAGAAAGGACATTCCTGTTATTGGATAAAACATTTATTTTCCATTTTCTCCCAAAAAGAAACTCTTCTCACAAGAAGGAGTATCTCTATATATGTAATCTTTGGCCCAAATGCATAGGTATAGAAAGACACATCTTTTGTTCATTCACTTTGCATTTATTCCCATGTTCAGTTATCTGACCTGTATAAAACTTACGTCGTCGTCATTCTTGTTATCCTATGAATTATCCTGTGTCTTTTTAGGCTACATGCCTGGGGAGATACCCTGGAAGAAGCGTTTGAGCAGTGTGTTATGGCCATGTTTGGCTACATGACTGATACAGAGACTGTGGAACCTCTGGATACTGTGGAAGTACATGCAGAAGGTAAGATTGTAGTGACTTTATGTTGGAACTGTATAAACAATTGGGAGAGAAGGGTACCAAAATCCTTTAAATCATCAGATGGGATTTTGCTGCAGTTAATTAAAGCCTGATTACAAGTTTTTTTGGTGGAGAATCTGTACTTCTTACATGTGTTACATGTTTTGGTGTTCTTGCTGGGAGAATCACCAGACTCTCTGCCTCAACCCTGCAGGACACGATATGCTGTCTCTTCTCTTTCACTTCCTGGACGAGTGGCTCTATAAATTCAGTGCTAATGAGTTCTTTATACCCAGGGTAAGTGTTCTGTTCTTTTCCTATTTGTAGGATGAGGCTCTGATAACACCGACTCCCTTTCCCCTACTTCAGGGGGGGAAAAAGCTACAACACTTAAAGCATGGAGAATACCAGAGTAGAAAGATGTGAGAAATAAATTGTTAGCTTTGTTATCACAAACCATTAGGTGTCATTACATAGTAGAGACAGCTCCCAGCTCCCTTGTCTTTAATTTCCCAGTATTACTGTGCCTCTTTGAGGTTGCTATGATTCTCTGGTTTCAGATTTCATTTAGAACAGTGAAAATGCAAGCCTTGCAAATGGGGATTTGCTGAGATATTTTCAGACGGAAGATAGAAGACTTTACTGACATGTTTTTCGTCTCCCTTTCTCTGCAGGAGGTGAAAGTGCTTCATATTGACCGAACGCAATTCAAAATAAGATCAATAGGGTGAGATTAAAGGGTCAATTGAGTAATTAATATCTTTACAGAAAACACTTAACACTTGGGAGGGTCACATATTGCCTTTCTGGAATATTGACCTGAAATTCACTGATGCATTCTAAAAAATGGATTATGGACTTCCTTTTCTTGTTTTGAGGCTTTAAATGAAAGTGTCACTGTCCCATGTTCATTAATGAAACTAGTTATAACATTTGATTAAAAATAACCAAAATTCCAACCACCTATCTTGTTTTTGTTGTTAAAGGTGGGGAGAAGAGTTCTCTTTACCTAAACACCCTCAGGTATGTAGTACTTTGGTAACACTTAATGCTTTGGTAATACATAAGTATTACTTAAGTAATACTACTAAGTAGCTGCTTCCCTTTTTTGATGCTAGTAGCACAGTAAACCAATCTATATTCAATACTTTTCCATGAGTTGGATTCTCACACTGTTATCACAGCTTTTCGTTAGTCTTTTTTGCAAGTTTATTTTCTAAAGATTATTAAAAGCCGATTCTTACCTCCCAACCTGTTCTTTAGCTATGTCAGCACAAGAATAGCAATGCTGATCTCCTGTCAGAGAGGAGGAGAAATTTGTGCCAGAAGGAAAGAGCAATTTGTTCAGTATTTGGCCCAAACAAGTTATTGCTATTAATACACTAACTTTTGTATTCACCGGGAAAAATATAATTCAGGTTTTGGGGAGGGAATGTCTCTTAATCTGGATAGCATTTATAGAAATTGGTAAATATTGTGAATTGGCATGACAAACTGCTGCAAGCAATTCTCCTTTAGAAAATCCATGGGTTTTTTTCTGTCTTTTCTCTCTAGGGTACAGAAGTCAAAGCCATAACTTACTCAGCAATGCAAATCTGTGAAGAAGAGAAGCCAGAAGTCTTTGTCATCATTGATATTTAAAGAAAAGTGTAATGAAATGACAGGATACACATATCGTTGGCTGGCAGAAGCTACTTTTGGAAGTTACTAAGGAATTGGCCAGTTGAAATCATAAGTTGAAGAGAATTGCAGGGAATGTACATCTGTGTTTTGACTTGAGGATGGTGAGCCAGTTTGGCCTGTGTGCCAAGGAAAAAAAAAAGTTTTTTATTTGGGATTTTTTGGGTGAGGGTGGTGAGCTGTAAGGATTAAAAATCTCTCAGGAAAGTGAGTATTTTATATCAACTTTTAAGGCTGATGTGTTAAGTCGCGTATGAACTAAATAGATTAGTGAAGCCAGCAATAAATACACTGCTTTTTGTAGGATTGCTGGGGATAACAACTTCTTAAATCTGCAACATTTATTTGCAGATTTAAGTATTCTAATTCTGAAGTGTTGTCCCTCCATATTATTCAAAGGCTCCAAAATACCTGCAGTGATTCAGATCTAATGTGGAAAAGTTTCTGATTGCTTGAAGGATGCCAAAGAAAGTAAACCAATCTTTCAAAAAAACTTGTAATTAATGAAAAAAGGTAATGCCACCAGGTGGTGCTGAATTGCCAATAGTTTCCAAGCGAAATGCTGCAGTGTGTGAGGGAATCCTAGTAGCGCTACCACTCTAAAAAGGAGACAATCTGGAGCTTCTCCCCTAGCATGTGGGAGGATGGTGAGGTGAGGCTCATTTCTGTAATTTAGATTATTCCTGCTTCTACTGCTGAGAAGATTTTATGTTTTTTACCTGACTTCATTATACTACAGAGTGGTGAAACCGTGTGGCCAAAAAAAAGCTTCCTTTTGCCTTTATTGTCGGAAAAATCTGAAGTCTTATTCACTGAATCAAAAATAATAATTGAAAAGTGTGTGTTTTATTTTATGTTCATGGGACAACTAACATGTGGTGTCTGACATTGTCTTCCCTTTTTTTTTTTTCTGGTAAATGCTGCAAGTTCTCATCTTTATTTTGTCCTAAAGTCGTCTTAAATAGAGAAAGATTGGGATTTTATTTCCTTGTTTTACAGATGAGGAATAAAATCATTTTATTATAAAAAAGTTTTAATGCCGAAATAAAACATGGACTAAAAAAGAATTATGGATACATACATGTATGAATAATTTTGGCCAGTGGCTTTTTGAGGACAATAAACTTAAGATTTGTACTGTCTTCTCTGGCAGGATGAGCAGAGTTTTCCATACATAATAATTAGGATACATAATAATTAGGATTAGGATGTTATAGATGGTGCCTACATTATGATTTGCTTGTCCAGGACTTTCTTTTCCCTCAGAGGGAGCCTCAGGGCTCCAGCCCTTGCTCACCATCTCTGGGATGATGCCAGCCACAGCGGGGCTGCTGTGGAGGAGTGAGTCCAGGGCCTGCCTGTTAAAAGGGCTCTAAATAAACCCTTAATTTGCTCTAAATAAACAACTTTTCGGTCTCTCCCGCCGCACCCCATCGCCCCCAGAGGCGACCGGGAGCCGCGGGCGACGCGCGCCGAACGCTCCGGTCCCTCAGCAGCGGCTTCGGCACCTCATTGGCTGGCTGGGTCAGGTGACCGGGATTAGCCAATCGGGCGTCGAGTTGAGGCCGCCTTGGTTCTCCACACTGCCTGAGGCAGTCGCGGCCTTTCGGGGGTTGCAGGAGAGCGGCGGCTGTTCTCCCTTAGCCCAGCTCTCCGCCTAAAAAGGGAGGAGAAAATAATAAAGTATGTCACTAAATTTTAATTTTCTTGACCTGCTGAGGTGCCCTGTGCGTGACATCCGTTACAGGTTGCAGTGACACCAGCAAACTACTCTGCACTAAGGAACTGATGACTGGAATGTGCTAGAAAGACTTTTGGACTCCGATAAGTAAATTCTATTTGTCTGTTCTTCAATGTTTATTAAGTACTTACTGTAAAATAGACTTCATATTCTCCTTGTCATTTCTTCAGCTGTGGAAATGAAACAAGTATCAGGGTACTTTCTAGGAGTCTAAAACAAACAAAAAGACCCTTCAGAATACCAAAGGTTGTTTAAATTATAGGAGAAGGTGTATTTAGAAAAAAGGGGTTTTATACTGACTGCCCAGCAGCCTCTGAGCTTTCTAAATTTATGTTAGCTGGAAAGACGTCCTAAGATAGGTACATGATCCAAGCTACAAGTGTCCCACTGAAATAAAAGGGAGTTGTCCAGATTTATTATCTTTCCATAAAATAAGAGTATACGCAATGCCAGTCCTGAAAAAAATGGGGGGAAAAAAGGTAATCATACTTCCAGTAAGTGCACTTTTATTTTTTTGAAACCATGTCAGTGTAATTTTGTTTAAAATTCACAGTACAAAATCACTGTATATCTGAAGAGGAAAACTCATGCTAGCCAAATGCATTATAGCAACTTGGTTCACTATTCTACCCTGTCTGGCTCTGTGTATTCTTTTAAACTATCCATGCTTTTTCTGAACTACAAAAAGCAATAAGTTCACTCAAGAAAGAGATAGCTTTAGTAAATTTTTGTTGGGTTTGTTTGAACTCCTTTCTTATGAACTTTCCTAGGTGTATTTACATGTTAATTACAGTGTCTACAAAAATTTAGATTACATTTCTCAGCTGATAACTTGCTTTGAAAAAGTCTTACTAAAATTATCAATAATAGATTTTTCATTATATAATGTTCACTGCAGGACTGTAAAGTAGTTTATACTTCCATTATGAGTAGATACTCCAAGTAAGTATTTGATTAAATACAAAGCAATTATTCTAAATAGTTATAAAATACTAAGTAATTTTAAGTCAGTATCCAGAAGCAGTTATACTGTTGCATGCCCGTAAACAGAAAAGTATGTTTTGGTAGACCTTATTTTGCTTTTCATAGAGTCAAATATCCCTAAAGTTTTATTAACAAAACTAATAAACCAGTGCTAGTTGGCAGGATACTAGTAATTTAATCTTGAATATAGGAAAAACAAACATATAAATATATCTACCTAAGATTTGGTTTCCCTTTACCATCTGCCTCATCTGAAATATCATCATCAACACGTTGGATAACCAAATTATAAGGTTCCTCCCCCATTGTCTCTTCATCTGATTTCTGCTCTTCCTCCAAAGCCCATTGGGAATGTGTGTTTCCTGGAAAGGTGACGAGGGAATGCTCTGCATCCACGTCCTCGGGGACGCTGTCAAAGCTGGCTTCTGCCAGGCACTCGTGGCACAGTCTGTAGCGCCTCGTTCCTTGCTGAACCACACATCCCGTGAGGTCGGTTACGTGGCGCTTGCATTTTCTGCAGATTAGCTTGCCAGCTTGATGTATCTAAAGAGATTTAAAAGTTGAAAATATCAGTGCTCATCCAAAAGCATTTTTTTTTAATTATTAAAAATACTAAATTCATCACTGTTCAGTTATTCCCCACAAACAGCACTGAAAGCAACATCTCTAAGAAATAAACTTTTTCTATATTGTAATTGTTGTTCTGTCACCTGGAGATTACCAGACTGGTGCACTGAATTTATGGAGCAAAAAAGCAGCAAAAAAACCCCAAAAAAGACAGTAAATACCTCATGAGCAGCATAGATAATAATTTTATTTCAGATTTGTATCTTCCATGAAGAGCAGCTCAAACTTTAATTATTTAAAATTTCAAATGAAATAATTTGAATTAAGGCTACAGCTAGGAAGCTTTTCTGGTACTGGTTCTAGAAATGACTTAACAGCTGTTACAAATCGAGTCTGTCTGTCTTCCCTTAAGCTGACTCTCTGATGGAAGCGACGTACTGTTTGGAAGTGGCTACGTAAATGCTCCAGTCGGGTGAACCTTTTCCCGCACGCTTCACATGGATACGGTCGCTCCCCCGTGTGGCACCGAAGATGACGCTTTAGGTCTGCCCTCCGTTTCACTGTGTGAGTGCAGAAGGGGCACTTGAATCGCATCCGAGGTAGATCATCTATTTCAGAGAAAAACAATTTAATATGTCAATAATTACTAGTCTTTGCTTATATTCTGTAATTCACCACTCTGGATTGTTTTGAAGCTTAAATAAGCAGTTTTGTCTTGTGCCCTGTCACTAAACAATCCAGAATGCAACCCAAAATATTTCTTCTTTTCCAGCAACCAACATTCTTTATTGAATACTTTAAATCAGTATTTGATAGTATTTTTTTCCCCTCACACAGAGTGAATGTTCTTTAGACATATGGAAGACTGTAAATATATACATGTAAATACACATTTGCATGAAGAAACAATTTTAGATATTTATAAATCCTATATAGCATATTAGGGTCCCTGAAGTCTTTAAATTATGCAATTATAATTACATACTGGTACAATAAGTTAGTCTCTCTAAGAAAATATCTGTCTACTCCATCATCTCAGGCATCTGCTCTCTGTTCATCAGGGACTTCTTTCATGCTTTATGCAGCGTGGCCAAAAGTCTTAAAGATTAGACTCTTTGGACCATAAGGGAAGTGGAGAATGCTTCCATCTAAAGATCTTAAGTGGCCAATGACACGACCTCCTCTTGTAAACAAAACAGTGGATTAAGTGCAAATACTGCCACATCCCCAAGCCAATTCCAGCTCTAAAGGCCTCAAACTCTACTTGGGTCCAGATAATCTGATGTATATTTTTTTTAACTTCACTGAATACCTGGGCTGTGTTCTCCAACTATAATTGTCCTGCTATATTTTGACTTCGCAAATTCTCTCATTCTGTTAAGCACTAGCATAAAGTACAGCAAGAAAATAATCTGCAGGTCTAGGCATCATTTTGCTTTTCATGCCAAAACAGCCATACAGGATTCTCTCCAAAAGATCTGCTGACTTCATCTGGACAAAGAAAAACTGTCCAAAACCATATCTTATTTTTACCTTCATTCCAACTACTCATTACACCTAAAATTGTGGGCATTGACGTATACAGCTCATCTGCTTTTAATTCCATTAACTCAGGAGAATTTCTTGAAAGTTCTTGTTCTAGCTGAGCAACAGACCACCTCTTTGGTATAACTTCTGATTCTTGGTTATCTCCATAATCATCATGATCAACATCATTGTCAGCATCAAATTCATTCTCCCCTCTTTCCCCAGAGGTGTGGCTAGAATCTGATGCATTACCACCTCTGCTAGTCCGCTCACTTTTGTTTGATTTATAGTGCACAAAATCACGGCTCTGTGACAGTCCTAGATGTTTTTGGCGCTTTCTTGTCGGGCCCAATTTTCGGCCTCTTTTTGATAGCTGCATTTCTGGCCGTTGAAGACTTATCTGTGAGGACAGATAGTTGTTGTAATTACTCCAGGAATTTTCATTCACCATACTTGCCTTTTCATCTGGAGTTAAATGGGAGCGTTTTGGGTTGCTCTTTGCTTTCCTTCTTGACCGATAAGGAGGTGGGTGAGCAGGTTCATTGTTTGTACCTTTGACTGAAAGGCTAAGGTAACGATCCTTTTCCTTCTCATTAATGTCCAGGGAGGATTTAATGAACGTCTTACAGACATTAAGAATATCTGTCATCTGCAAATAGCTAGCAGCTGACATGACTTCAATGACATTTTGACCAGTTAAAGACAATATGCCTGAATATACAAAGTCCAAAATAACCATAAATGTCTCTGGAGAGAAGACCTCAAAAGTAGCTGTTGTTGGCTGGCTGGTGTCTTTTGAACTCTGTGAAAGGAGCATTTTGAAATAGCCACTGCTGGCGAACAGCACATTGCGATGGGCTTTGAAGACCTTCCCCTCAACCAGGATACTGCAGTCGCAAAACAAATCCTGCTTCCGCTGCTCATTTAGCTGCTCTAGGAGGTGAAACTGGTGGGAAGAAATCTCCATTCCAACGAGGGAATAACAGGAAGTCTTGCCCTAAAGTAAATAAGTACAAAGCATGACAATCTACAGCCAACGCAACGTGACTGCATCCTGCTTTAAGGGCACATGGGACCTTCCTTAAAAAGAAAATCGTGCATGTTGCTACATTCCCAATAGATTTCTGTTTTCCACCCCACCACGTATTATTAATAGGAAAGACGCCAATGGAAACACGAGCGGTTTGAGCAGTTTGCCGATTCAGCAAGTCGTGCCGCGGCTCCCCAGGGATTGGTACCCGGTTCCGCGGGATGCGGGCACAGCC